AGAGTGCTTTATACCTAACAATCATAGAGGTGATTTATGCACACGTCCACTTTCCTTCCAGCAACCGAAATCTCATTTCTGTCAGTTGTTTTGTTTGTCTCTCAGGTGAGGTGTTGTTCCGCTGGATCTACAACGACTTCCCCAACTTCATCATCCCAGACCAGAGGCGTTTCGTGTCTCAGACCACTGGGAATATGTACATCGCTAAAGTCGAGGCATCTGATGTTGGGAATTATTCTTGCTTTGTGTCAAGCCCCACCATCGGCAAGAGTGTTTTCAGCATGCCGATTCCTCTGATTCCACAAATAGAGAGTGAGTGCACATTCACATTACCCACAATGCCAAGATCTGTCTTCCTAATTGCCTTACTGAGACCACTGTTGTTTTTAAAGGTTAATTAATGATCTCTGCCTTTCACACAGAGGAGGTGAAGCGCTATCCTGCTGATATCCATGTGAAATTCCCCAAGACTTATGCTTTGGTGCATCAGAACATCACTCTGGAGTGCTTTGCCCTTGGAAAGTGAGTCGACAAATGCAGATCCATATAGTCTGCATGTTACTCATACCATTATGATACCATGGTACTTTCATATACAGTATAAAATACAGTTGCACTGAAGGAATGCAGTATTCATTTGCCATGGTCTTAACAGGCTACCTTGAAGTATTTCAAAGAATATGTTGGTATAATCATGGTACATGTCTAATAAACATAGTAATACGATAATTTGTTAGTGAATCATAATTGATTTGTTCTTGACTTATTTTTGTTTGTTTTTAACCATATGAATTCAATGTTTACCTTTCAGTCCGCTGCCACACATCCGCTGGAGGAAGTTAGACGCTGATCTCCCGCCCAACTATGAGGTCAGCATGAATGGAGCTTTACTGCACCTGATTAACGTTCAGTACGAGGATGAAGGGAGCTACGAGTGTGAGACGCTCAACGTTAAAGGGATGGACTGGTATCGACAGTGGCTCTATGTGGAAGGTAAAACAAACTCAAAGTTTAAAAGACAGACACTGGTTTAGTTCTGTTTATATATGGCCTATAATAACTAATAAGAAAAAGTATATTATATTATATTATATTATATTATATTATATTATATTATATTATATTATATTATATTATATTATATTATATTATATTATATTATATTATATTATATTATATTATATTATATTATATTATATTATATTATATTATATTATATTATTATATTATATTATCAGGGGTTCAATATGTTTTTCAGCCTGCATGGTTCTCATAAGAACACCTGGATCTTTACACCTTTTTAAATAAAATAATAAACAAAAAATAAAGTGTGATAATACTATTATATTTTAAAATAAAAAGGGAGTATTAAATAAAAAATATTATTATTTTGTAGTAAACTTAAAAATAAAATGCTATGCTAAAAATAAAATATGAATTTTGATAATTTTCAAACTTAAAACCAGCAAACGTGTATTTTACATCATATTATAATAATTTGTGATCGGTAAGATTTTTTGTTTTATTTTTTTGAAAGAAATCTCTTATATGCTCACCTAGGCTGCATTTATTTGATAAAAAAAATACAGTAAAAACAGTAAAATTTTGAAATTATTACAGTGTAAAATAACAGTTTTTTTTAAAAATTAAGATATTTTAAATTAGAATTTATTCTTGTGATGGTAAAGCTGAATTTTCAGCAGCCATTACTCTAAAAAAATACAGTAAAAACAGTAAAATTTTGAAATTATTACAGTGTAAAATAAGTTTTTTTTTTAAATTAAGATATTTTAAATTAGAATTTATTCTTGTGATGGTAAAGCTGAATTTTCAGCAGCCATTACTCCGTTGTTATTTTTAGTGTCCCACGATCCATCAGAAATTATTCTAATATGCTGATTTGGTGCTCAATAAACATTTCTTATTATCATTATCAATGTTGAAAACAGTTAAGCTGTTTCAAATGTTTGTGGGAACTGTGATCCATTTTTTTTTATAGGATCCTCTGATGAATGGAACGTTCAAAAGAACAGTTTTTATTTGATCTTTTGTTACATTATATATCTTTACTGTCACTTTTGATCAATTTAATGCATCCTTGCTGAATAAAACTATTAATTGCTTTATTTAAAAAAAATTGCTGTGTCCAAAATCAAATACTTCCCTACTATATAGTATGCAAAAAACAGTATACTAAAAGAGTAGTAGTGACAGTAACAACATGGCGGATGTAGTTCATGTTCATACTATATAGAACGTCTTACCTACTAGACAGTACTGGATTTCAAACGCAGCGATTGTGTCTGTGTGATTGTGTCCTCAGGTGCTCCAGAGTGGGCAGAGCACATCAATGACACGGAGAAAGATGTTGGAAGTGAACTCACTCTCAGATGTGTTGCTGTGGGGAAACCTTTACCATGGATTCGCTGGCTGAAGGACGGCTATTCGGTTAATACTGTTGTATTTGTTGAGGAAAACCCATATGAGAGAACCTCAGATTGTTTTATATCAAGTAATCATGTGTGTTCTGCTGCATTCATCCTCTTTTTTTAGTACGGCAAAGGGGAGCTGAAGTTCTCCAGTCTCACGTTTGAGGATTCGGGGATGTATCAGTGTATTGCTGAGAATGAATGGGGCACCATCTATGCCAGCGCCGAGCTTCGTGTCGTCTGTGAGCTTTTAATAGCGTCTTTACGCTTTTAAGTATAGCTTACATAGTAAAAAAGAACTGGAAGTGTCTTCAAAAAGGTACATAATTATTGTTGAAGGTTGAGTGTCTCCAAATGTCTCTTCACAGCCTGTGCGCCAACATTCATTTATAATCCAGTGAAGAAGGTTCTGCTCGGGGCTGAAAACGGACGTGTGGTTATAGAGTGCAAACCCCGCGCTGCTCCTAAACCCAAGTTCATCTGGAAACGAGGCTCAGAGCTGCTGACCAACTCTTCAAGGTTAGTCAGTCGATCCTAAACGCTTGCATTTACTTACAGGTGAATCATAATGTTGTGGCAGAGACAGAAGCTTAGCTACAGTTATCTTCATCCGCTTCTCTCTTCGTCCTTATTTTTTAGGATGTTAATTTGGGATGATGGAAGTCTGGAGATTCTGAACTTGTCAAAAAGTGACGAGGGCTCGTACACATGCTATGCAGAGAATGACCGCGGCAAATCCAACAGCACAGGGACCCTCACTATCACCGGTCAGACAAAAGTCAAATTCCGTCACCTATAATGATTGTCAGTTTAGACAATAGCAACTTTTATTTTATTTTATTTTTTTATTTTATTTTATACCAGTTTAGACAATACCAACTTATTTTATTTAAAATTATTTATGCCAGTTTAGACAATACTATCGTTTTATTTTATTTTATTTTATTTAGGTCAGTTTAACTTTAGACAATACCAGCTTTGTTTTATTTTTCATTCCATAATGCTTCTAAAAAACACCATTTTGTATATAAAACAGCATGTGACGTCCTGTGAAGCACATATACATTCTCACCCAGTGCTTCTCTTGTCTCAGGGCCTACAGTAGCTCCTTCTGACGTCATTGGGCAAGTAGGAATAAGCGGAGAGCTCATCGTGACCTGGGCTGTATGTGTTCATATGCTACTGTATTTATGCTATGTTTGTCGATCATTGGTCAGGGGCAAATTTCTGATGTCTCTCATGTTCTTAATCCCACTGCAGCCTGTAAAGCCTCAGTTCTTCTTTGGTAAAAAATTTGGCTACGTCGTGGCGTTTAAGCAGCATGAGAATTATGAATGGAAATGGACAACTGTGGAGGATCCTGAGACTAGACGCTACGTCTACAAAGAGAGCATGACCCCAGACACTGAGATACAGGTCAAAGTGAGCACCTACAATAACAAAGGAGAAGGGCCCTCAAGTCTTATATCGGTGGTCTACTCACCAAGGCTTGGTGAGATGGATTTCTGTTTATTGATTGATTGATTGATTGTAATTTATTGAGAAAAGAGAGATTATTTTATTTACTGCAACATTATTTTAACATACTGGAACATTATTTTACTTATTTTATACTTTATTTTTACCTATAATTTTAGGTAAATTACTTTATAATTATGTTATTTTATTACTGCAGCCTTATTTTACTGTTTTACTTCCTTTGTTTTAATTCATCCTTTATTTTGTTTTGTTTTATTCCTGGAACTGTATATTAATACCCCTATTTTCATTTATATTTTATAATTTTATTTTATCTTATTACTGGGACCTTATTTTATTGCCCTTGTTTTAATTCATCTTTTATTTTATTTTATTTTATTAATGTGTGTTTATTTCATTAATGTGTGTTTATTATTTTATTTTATTTTATTTTATTCCTGGAACCTTATATTAATGCCCCTATTTTCATTTATATTTTATAATATTACTGGGACCTTATTTTATTGCCCTTGTTTTAATTCATCCTTAATTTTATTTAATTTTATTAATGTGTGTTTATTTCATTAATGTGTGTTTATTTTATTTTATTTTATTCCTGGAACCTTATTTTATTCCTGGAACCTCCTTTATTTTATTTTATTTTATTTTATTAATGTGTTTATTTCATTAATGTGTGTTTATTTTATTTTATTTTATTCCTGGAACCTTATATTAATGCCCCTATTTTTATTTATATTTTATCATTTTATTTTATAATATTACTGGGACCTTATTTTATTGCCCTTGTTTTAATTCATCCTTAATTTAATTTTATTTTATTTTATTAATGTGTGTTTATTTCATTAATGTGTGTTTATTTTATTTTATCTTATTACTGGACCCTTATTTTATTGTCTTTGTTGTAATTCATCCTTTATTTTATGAATGTGTTTATTTATATTTTAATTTATTTTATTTTATTACTGGAACCTTAGTGTAATACTCTTATTTAATTCATAATTTATAACTTTATTTTACTTTATTATTGGAACCCTTTATTTTATTTTATTTGTTATTTTTTCTTAACTGAGTTAAAGCATCTTTTGACACATGTAATATCTCTCTCAGCGCCGACTGAAGCTCCGTTAGACGTCTACGCCCGCCAGGTCACCTCTACAGAAGCTTTGGTCTGGTGGTTACCGGTCTACCAGGCGCCGCCAAACTGGGTCGACGGATACCAGGTGAGTCCTAAGTGGAATAGTAGGGAATAATAATGAATTTTAATCCTCATGTCTCTTCATTTGGTTTCCAGATTCGTTACTGGAGGAAGTACGATGATAATGAGGCTGCTGCCTCTCGAGTTATTGTGCACAGAACAATGAACCAAACACGCCTGGAGAACATGCGGCCTGACTCCCACTACCTCATAGAGGTACGAGCGTTCAACGGAGCTGGGCTCGGGCCACCCAGCGAGCATTGTGAAATGTTCACCAGGAGACCACGTAAGAGATTACTCGACATCACTCAGTCTTATACAGATCTTACATTTGAAACAAGAGGCTCGAGGAGCTTAAATGGACTGATGATATATGTGTATTATCTTTCCAGCCCCAAGTCGCCTATTGAGGGTCTACAAATATGTCAGCTTCAATCGCAAATGGCTCTATCTGTATTGGGATCACATCTATAACTACTGGAATGAGTCCTATGTGGAGGGATACAAGGTGAGTCAGTTGTATTTTACTTTGTATTCTGTTGACAAAAGACTTGAGAGACACATTCATTAAAGGCTTGTTAATATTAATCTTAAAGTTTATTTATGATTTTTTAAATATCCTTTTTTATTTTATTTTATTTTATTATTGGAACCTTTTTAATGCCTTTATTTTAATTAATCTGTACACTATATTTTATTTTATTATTTATGCTATTTTTATTTAATATTATTTTATTACTATTTTATTTTATTTTATTTTAATATCCTTATTTTAATTTATCATTTATGTATTTATTTAATTATTTTGTGTGTGTGTGATTGTGTGTGTGTGTGTGTGTGTGTGTGTGATTGTGTGTGTGTGTGTGTGATTGTGTGTGTGTGTGTGTGTGAGAGAATAATGAAAGGACATTGACAGCACGTCTCTATAAATAATGAGAA